CCCCCCACATTTGATGATTTTGACGTCCCCTTTCACATCTTCATGTTTATCCTTTTGCTGTTCATTCTAGTTATCCGTTCTTTCATAAGAATTTTTTTGCTTTTTTATTTTTTTAATGTGTGTACTGGCTTATTTGAGTGATTTACATTCCAACTGTGATTTTCTCTTTCCTGTAGTTTCTTGCTTCTTTTCTATTTAGAGAACTTTCAATATTTCTTTTAGGATAGGTTTAGTATTGCTGTATTCTTTTAGTTTTTGCTTATTTGAGAAATTTTTATCTCTTCTATTCTAAATGATAATCTTGCTGGTTAGAGTATTCTATGTTGCAGGTGTTTCCCTTTCAGTGCTTTGAATATATCTTGCTATTCCCTTCTTTCCTGCAAACTTTCTGTAGAAAAATTAGCTGATAGCCTTATGGGACTTCTCTTGTAACTAACTCTTTGTTTTTCTCTTGCTGCTTTTATAATCCTCTCTTTACCTTTGACTTTTGCCATTTTTATTACAATGCATCTTGGTGTAGGTCTGTTTGGGTTCATCTTGTTTGGGACCCTATGTGCTTTCTGTATCTGGATATCTGTTTCCTTCTTTAAGTTTGGGAATTTTTCAGCCATAAGTTATTCAAATGCAGTTTTAATCCCTTCTTCTCTTTCTTCTTCTTCTTATGGGATCCGTATCATGTGTAGATTGGGACACTTTATATTATCCCATGGGTCTCGTATAGTGCTTTCATTTTTTTTTCATATGTCTTTGTGTCTTCTGTTCTTATTGCATGTTTTCTATTTTTTATCTTGCAGATCATTTATTCGTTCTTCTGCATTATTTAGTTTTGTATTTATTGCCTTTAGTGCAGCTTTCATTTTGGCAAATGAATTTTCTAATTTTAATTGTCTTCTCTTTATAGTTTCTAGCTCTTTTTTACAGTGATCTGCATTTCTATCGATAGCCTTTCTTAATTCCTTCAGTATTTCTATTACCTCTTTTTTGAATTTGGGATCTAATAGACTAGAGAATTCTGTTTCATTGTTTGTTCTTTCAGGGGAATTCTCTTGATTGTTTAACTGAGAGTGGTTCCTCTGCTTCTTCATTTTACTTATGTTTCTCTATGAATTTAGGAGAAACAGTTATCTACTGTGTTCTTAAAAGGCTGTTTTTATGTGGGAGCATCCCTGTGTAGCATGCATGAGTCTAATATTTTTTGTGTGAGAGCTATTTTTAGTATGAATGCCTGCCATATCTTTCCTCAGTGTGTGCTGCTCTTTATCACTTTGATAGGTTGTGTGATTGGTGTTGTGGTGAACAGAGCCTGTACTGGATGTTGAGCGGGGCCTCCTCTTTGTCTGTGGTTGTCACAGTCCTGTTGGGGGTAGGGTCTGCTCCCCAGTTGTTGGAGCAGAAGATCCCATATCTGTTTCTTAGCTTTAGTGTGAGGTAGGTGGGACTGGAGCACTTTTTCCTGGAGAGGAGCCACTGAGTATTCCTCTCTAGGAGCCGTCCACTAGGAAGTGCACTCTGTGCACTCTGTGGTGTCTGTCACCCATTGTGCAGGCTCACAAAGTACATGGTTTTTGACACTGCCCTCAGCCCCACCTCAACCATGGGAATGCAGGTGATTGGCCTGGGTGTTCTTCAGACACTGTGCTCACAAAGCCACCAGTGCAGATTCATCAGTGCAGATTTGCTGAAGTTAGGCCACCACAGTTGTGGTGGTTAGGACCACCACAGTTGTGCACTTATACCTGCCATGGGAGCTATGGAATCAGTCCAGTCCCCAGCTCTGCCTCTCCATGTGCTCACCTGCAAAGACTGCAGCTGCTATCACTGGACCCACCCCAGTTACGGGAGCACCAGTAATCCACTTGGATGTCAAGCAGGCACTGAGTTCACAAAGCTGCCACTGGTGGCATAAATCTGTGGATCACACTGCTGCTGACACATGGCTCAGATTTCAGCCCTTCTTTCTAAGTCATGCAGCCCCTGGGGATTGGCTCAGATTTCAGCTCTGCCTCTGCATGCGGACAACCCACTGTTGCTTGCACACTCCTAGAGTTTGTAGAGGTGGAGCCATGCCCACTGTGAGCATGCTGAGAATGAGGCTGCTATGGCAGGGCAGTGTCCCTCCTTTCATGCTTGTGTTAACAATGGGGCTTCTATGGTGGACCAGGGCCAGTCTTGTGTACACCTGTGGTTGCTGCTCAGACCACACTCCAGCCCCTTCAGGCTGTCTCCATGGAGCCAACCCCAATCCCCTCCCCAAGTCTGTCTGCTGAAGCCCAAATTTCAGTAGCCAGCTTCCACACACCAGCAGGCATGCATTTCGGTCTGGGGAGTGCCGGGAGTTGACCAGGACTGTCTGTGCTGGTCTCGCTCTGTTCTGCCTGCCACAATTCTGCTGCTGCACTCTCCTCTGAGCCTCTGAAGCTCCCTATGTATCCTGGCTGTTATCTCAGCTGTTGAAGTGTGTTCCTGCGAAATTTTCCTCTTTCACAGCTCCCTCCCAGGGATGTGGGTCCCCTACCAATTCCTTTTTTTCCCTCCTTTCATTCTACTTGATTACATGGTAATCTGTCTTGAAGCTTTGGTTGTATGAGATCTTCTGTCAACATTCAGTAGGTATTCTGTGAGAATTGTTCCACATGTAGATGTATTTCTGATGTATTTGTGGGAGGAGGTGAGTTCCACATCCTTCTATTCTGCCATCTTGATCTCCCTCCTGCAGTTTATTTTTTTTTTTAATTTTCAAAAAGAATTTTGAGCACTCAGTTTAAAATGCTTGTATGGAAATTAGATAACATGAGTACCTACTCCCCCCAAATAAATAACCATCAAAACAAACCCATAAGGGAAAAGGTTGATAACATTTGATATGTTAAAATTCAGAATATCTTTTCATCAAAACACATCATTAAGAAAGCAAAAAGGCAAGCTACAGAGTAGAAGAAGTTATTTGCAATATATAAAAAGAATAAAACTCATATCCAGTGTCAGTTTAAAAAAAAAGACTACCCAAAAGAAAAATGAACACTATACAGAGGAAGAAAAGCAAATGTGAATGAACAGGAGAAAAGGTGCCCAACTTCATTAATAATCGAAGAATGCAAATTAAAATGACAGTGAGATACAGTACACACCCATCAGACCAGCAAAAACTAGATGTACTAAGGAAGTACATGCTGATGAGGATGTAGCAGAAGAGAAATTTCTATACACTGTGTCAAGTAAGTTAGTATAATACTTTGGAACATAACTGTGGTTTATTTTGGAAAGTTAAAAATATGTATAACCAATATGTAATTCCTATACATACTCATATGTATGTGCACTACATCGTATATACAAGGTCGGTCAAGCAGCAGCATTATTCAAAATATTAAAAAATTGGAAACACCCAAATATCCATCAGCAGTAGAATGGATAAATGAAAACGAGTGAACTAGAACTCCATGGAATAACACAGATGGATCTTAAGAAGCATAATATTGAGAAAAAAAGCAAATTTCAAAGAAAAACCCCGACATAAATTCATTTACAGTAAAGTTTAAAAAGAGGCAAAAGAGCAAAACTAAAGTATCTTAAGGATGCTTGTATGAATGGTGGTTACCTCTGTGAAGCGGGTGGTGATCGGCAGGGAACACATGTAGACTTTTGGGGTTCTGGCAATGATTTTTTGTAGCCTGAGTGGTGAATACATGGGTGCTTGCTTTACAATAAGTTATTGTACTCTACACTTGTGTTTTATGTACTTTAGTTTTTTGTGTTACAGTCCACAATTTTAAAAAACAAATGAAACTGTTCTCTGTATATTGGAATTCTTGAGTTTATGTTGTAAGTGAAAAAATAGAGCGTGGAAAAGTATGTAAAATTGGCCACTATTTATGAAAAGGAAGGGAGGAAGAGGGAGGGAGGGGGAGAGAGAGAGAGAGAGAGAGAGAGAGAGAGAAAGAGAGTGCTGTTCACAGAAGAGTAGGGAAACCTAGACACCAAAACAGTGGCTGTCTCTGGGCAGGAGAAATAGGTGGCCAAGGGACAGGTTTAGAAGAAAAATGACTATTCACTGTATACCCTTTTGTGCCTCTTGTATTTCATACCATGTGAATGTAACATTACCTATTCTAAATAAATAAATAAATAAAAATTCCTAACAACAACTTCTTCTAGCAATTCTAACCATACTTATCCACAAGGGTCAGTATTGAATGATGTCTAACTCTAGTTCCTCACCAGGGAAAAACCGTTCTGAAGTCTGTCTGCCCTCACCTGGGAGAAAGCATCTTCATTTACGTTCTTACTTTATTTTACACATCATGTTCCATTTTTAAGAAACCCTCAATTCAAAAATATGTACAAAAAATTTAAAATATCCTTTTAAAACGGGGTGAAAGAAGACAAAGAAGTGGAAAGATAATATGAAGCCATGAATGAATTTACAAAAAGCATAATATTAACCATCTCCCCTAGTGTCAATGCACAAATTAGATTCTAACGTTTCTAGCATTTGATGCAAAAAAAGACAATCCATGAGGACCATTTAGCTGAAATTCCTGACCAGCCTTAATAACAAGAATAATCCACAGATCAATTATGAAACCATGCCATCTTCCTAAGAAAAGTGTAAGATGCTCTGGGACATGAGACCAGGGAAGTATCATTCATGGTTAGTCATGGATGAAAATGAAAGTAAGAATACACGGTTTAGAAAAGGAAGAAGAAAAGCTGTAAAACTGTGCTTTAAAATTCTGTTTTACACATAAGATAGTGAGTAGCTTCACTTGTCTGGATTTTTCAAAATTTGATTATTGCAATGAATTCCCTTTTTTCCTAAAGTTGAGCTGATTGTCATTTGGGCAACTAATGGGTTAAATGTTACCTTCTAAGTTCAAGGAAAAGTAGCCTTGCTCAAATAATGCTGCTGGCTCACAAATGCAGGGCTTTGGGCAGAGTAAAGACCGGAGGAAATCAGTGTGTAGGAGACAGTTTTCTCCGTGACAAGACCAGCAAAAATTATGGAAACCACTTTGGCAGTGATGGATTCTTCTGATATTCAAAGGAAAAATATAGCTGTCATTGGTGGTGGCTTGGTAAGAATCTCTTTGGATATATTATTCCTGTTAGCAGTATTATATGAATTATCATTTACTCTTTTTTATTTGTTTATCTGAGATTAACTTCTTGAATTTTTTTCTTCCAGTTTTATTGAGGTATAATTGACATACAACACTGTATAAGTTTAAAGTGTACAGCATAATGATTTGACTTATATACATCATGAGATGATTGCTGCAATAAGTTTAGTGAACATTATCCCTCATCTCATACAGATACAAAATAAAAGAAAAAGATCTTCTCCTTGTGATGAGAACTCTTAGGATTTACTTTCTTAACTTTCATATATAATATATAGCAGTATTAATTACATGTTGTACATTACACCCTTAGTTCTTATTTACATTATAACTGTAAGTTTGTACTTTTTGACCACGTGTTTGTTGTCATACAGAGATACTATATAATTATTGACTATATTCCTCACGATGTATAGTTCATTAATCTTGTAAGTGGAAGTTTGTACCTCTAATCTTCCTTACCTATTTCATGTATTTTAATGATTATTACTAATCATTTATAAGGATTGTTCACTTTCTTTTGAAACTTTTCTGATATTTAAATACACCTTTTTAAAATGTGGTATTAGTTTAGTTTGCTCTTTTCTAGAAAAGCGATTTTATTTCCATTAAATACAAAAGTGTCTGTTTTCCCTTGCTTTTTCAGTACAGCATTTTAAAAAATAGAAAATAAAGTAAATCGAATTTGATTAATCCCCAAATTGGCTACTCTTTAAAAACAGATTATTAGTGTAAATAGTCATTTTAATCAAAACATTTGCCCCACTTTGGTTAATAACTCAGTTTATATTGTCTAATAAGAATAAAAGGGTCAAGAAACATGAAGTTAATGCAAAACTATCATGCTGAATGTTCACTAGTTATCTGAGAACTTTGGAGTAAAACCTGTTTAGTATTTGGCTGGCGCAGTGGAGCTGGTCCTAGGGTGGTGAAGTTAGGCCTCCTCTCTCACAGAGCTGGTGAGATGAAGAGGCTGAGATAGCCCACATTTAGCAAGGTGTAGGAGGGGGCTCTCCTCTGCTCTGTCGTAATTATATGAAAGCTAGCTCTGCTTAATGTGGGACTGCCTCAGCTAAACTGTATTTCCCGTCCCTTAGCAGAACTCCTATTTTGGAGTAAAAATATCCCCATTAGTTAAAGTTTAATCATTTTGGTTTTGCTTTTGGTCTAATGATTTGCAGGCCTTTAGCTCATTCATTCATTTACTCAAAAAAAAATTTATTAAGGGCCTAATATGTGCCAGACACTGTTCTGAGTTGTATATAGATCAGTATATTTTATATCGCACATAGAGTTATACAGTTTGTACTAATTCTGACTTTTGTTTTGCCTTCTTTCTTGTGTTTTCCCCAAAGTACGATGACAGTTCTAACTTTTCTGGTTCTAAATTTCAAAATGCTAAGGAAGGCTACCACATGCCGTGTTGGCCAATGCATGTGACATGTGTCATCATTTCTTCATACTTCATACCAGGCTTCAGTCCAATATTTTCCTTTCTAAATTTTACGTAAAATGAGAATTCATGTATTCAACAAAATCTTATTGGGTGCCAGCTATGTGCCAACATTGCTTTAGGTACTAGGGATACAGTGGTGAACATTCAGGGAGGAGAAAGACAATGGAGAAGAAAACGAATAAATAAATTCGGTGAGACCTAAGCACTATGAAAGAAATGCAAGCAGGGTAATGCGGTAGTGTCTTAACAGGTGTCCATTTAGAGTGTGCTCAGGGGCAGCCTTTCTGAGGGGGAGGCATATGACCTGAATAATGAGAAGGAAGGAACCATGCGAAGGGCTACAGAAAGAGCATGTTGGGTAGATGAACGACTGTCCAAAGAGAAACACTGAGGTGATAGATAATGGGCTGGGCACTTTCTTGGAACAGACAGAAAGGCAGAAAGAATGAGAGTGGAGAGGAGTAGCTGCTGAGGCTAGGGAGAATGAAATAGCCAGAGATCCTAGGATCTTAGAGGGCAAGGCAGACAGATTTTATCCTAGACACAATGGAAAACCATTGGAAGATTTTAGGTAGGAAAGCAAGCTGCGATTTTAAGATTCCTTAGGCTGTTATGTAGAGAAGAGTTGGGAAAATTGTAAGAAGACCAGATACACCAGTTAAGAGGCTGTTGTGTTTGTCCAAGACTTGGACTAGGGTGGCATCAGTGATATATCTTAAAATGTCTCTTAGAAGTCCAAGGGGAGATAACAAATATGTGATTAGATATATGATTTTCGAAGGCATAAATATGTGGGTATCATCCACAGATTTCTCCCTGAATAACACTTGAACTCTTCATCATGTAAACACGTCATTATCTGTGCATGCATACATACATGTGCTAGAAAATAGAAGACATGAATTAATACATGTGTATTAACAAGCAACTAAAATTCCTCTGCAAAGGAATTCTATTTACCTTATTGCTCAGGTCCATGCCTAGGAATCATGTTCGATTCTTTTTTTCATTTTATGGAAACCCCATTCCTCTTTCACTCTACCAGTAAGCCTTGATGGCTCTATATCCAAGATATATTTCAATTCTGGCCATTGCTAACATCCTAGTCCAGGCCATCATCATCCTTCATCCATAGTCCTGATTTCCTCCTAAGTGGTCTCCCAGCTTCTACTCTTATTCACAGGCAGTCACACAGCAGGCACTTTTAAATCATTAGTGTGATAATTATCACTGTTTGCTTAAAACCTTCCAGTGGTTTCCCATTACAAAAAAAATAAAATCCAAACTCCTTACCAAAGGCCCTACAGGAACTGAGCCTGTCTACCTGCCTGGCCTCATCTTTTCCGTTTTTTGTTTTTTTGTATTATTTATCAGTATCTGAACTTATACACTTTATTTGTTTTTGGTAAATAAAGATAAACTCTTTATTAAATATCTACTCCAACTAGGATATAGACTCTTATGGCTGGAACCATGCCTAACATTGCTTAATGTCATTATTTAGTTAGTATTTGTTGGATGAATGAATGAGAGGGATGAAAAACTCTTCTTAATGATATGAAGGTAAAAGAAATTTCATATTGGATGGAAGTCTGAATCTTGAGGAAATTAAGAAAAAAACATTGATTAAATAGAGCAATTCAAGAAGGTTAAATTCAATACATAAAGGACAAAATTATTTTCTTGCCCATCTACTTCCTTGCATTTTTTTTTTTTAGCGGTACGTGGGCCTCTCACTGTTGTGGCCTCTCCCGTTGCGGAGCACATGTTCCGGATGCACAGGCTCAGCGGCCATGGCTCACGGGCCCAGCCGCTCTGCAGCATGTGGGATTTTCCCGGACTGGGGCATGAACCCGTGTCCCCTGAAGAGGCAGGCAGACTCTCAACCACTGCGCCACCAGGGAAGCCCCCTTGCATTTTTTCCCCCATCTTTCCCATACTCTTCCTTCCCATGGACTGATCCTAATCCTTTATACTGTCTACTACATTAAAGACTCTCTCTGGGCCCCAGGGGATAAAATGCAATGGAGCTGAGAACCTTTACTCAGAAGTCCAAAGAATATAGTGAACGTACTTTTTTCCCAATCGTGCCTCGCCTAGTGAAAGATTACTCTTAGAATTTGTCTTTGCTCTAGTATAGTGATCATCTGATTCTGTGATTAACCAGTTGATTTCTGTTCTTTGAAGACATGTCAAGTCCGAAAGGTCAGAAGGAGCCAATAGATCAATGAAAGAATCTTACTCAGCAACTAAAGGTGAAAGAAACTGTAAACCATGGTCATAAATTGGTGAAAGTTGAGCTATTGGAGAGTGGGAAAAGATGTTAAAACCGTTTTTCAAGAACGTTAATCTGGATATTTAGCAAAATGACTGTATTGGCTTAGTTATCTTCCTTCTTGTGGGAAACACTGCTCCCAACCCCTTCCCCTGCAATGGTGATTACCTCCCCTTCCCCTGCAACGTGCACAGAGCTTTGCTTGCCTTTCTCACAGACTGCATTCTGTGAAAGTTATAGATATGCAGAGTATATTCACCATAGAAGGTTTTTAACTTCATGAGTCTAAAGATTTTCTTATCTTTGGGTCCTGCTCCCTTTCCTTTTATGAAGGTTATCCCAGTGCCTTATACTGTCAAACACACTAAAATATTTTGTGTGCATGAGTTTGCTTTCAGAACAAAATGGGGGATCATGCTCTTAGAAGTTATGGGCAATTAAAAGAAAGACAATATTTTTCATCAGAATGGAATCATAAGGAATGCAGTCCTTTGAAGGACTAATTTGAAAAACAATCTCTACTTTTCAGGCTGAAAGGAGTTTTACAGTTTTCCAATTCTAACAAGTTGACCTAGCGGAAAAAACTGCCACACAAGCTGTCTTACTTTGTGTTAGAGTGAGGTGTGTTTTCTTCACAAAGTGACAAGCCAGAGAAGTGAAAAGAAAGGCCATCTATCCTGCACATGTGTCCTTAAGATATGTAGGTATTCAGGTCCTTGGTATTCAGAAATGCTGCTTCTGAGGTGACTATTTTCAATGTTTACAGGTATGATGAAAATGACCAGAGATTTCAGTGACAACTACAGCTACTAAGCCCTCATTTTTTGGCTGAAGTTTAAGAGTTTTAGCTGAAAGGACTATTAAGCGTTCCAGCTTTAGCTGCAGCCTTCTATTGAAGTATGTGTGCATTGTTCTGGCACACACTTTGAAGATGTATTTTAGGGCAATATTGAAGGATTTCTTTTGTCTCCCCTGCTGACAAGCAACCCCACTCCATTCTCCCTATGTTTGACCCAGCAAAATTCTCCATTAAGAGCTATTTAGAGGGTAAAGTCATTCAAAACATCAGGGGAAGGAGACTTGTGCATTTTATGACTTACTGTTGTTAATTGTGCCCTCTCCCCTAGTATTCAAGTCATTGCCTTTGAAACTGCTTGACTTTGATTCTATGAGAGGTTGTGTCTCACTTCTATAGATGATAATTCTGTCACAGATTTATAGACT